GGAAATCGGTCCATTATACTTAGAAAACAAAATTTTAAAAAACCCCTAAAACTATGCTGTTTCAGACTCTTCAGGTACAATTTTATAAAATAATATGTATACTACAAAGTTAGAGGAGTAGTCAGTGTTATAACTATCTTGAAGAGATTCATAAGCAATGAAAACTAGTGACCAGAGCAGGTATTAAATGTATAATTCTCTATTTCTATTATAGCAGCAATAAATTTCTAGGACAAGGTCATGCAGAATCATCAACATAAAAACCCTTGTTAGTAACTCTATACACATATGAAAGCACCATGGCTGGCATACCAGAGCCATGCAAATGCTTGCTGAATGCCTGCAAGGCTGTGCCAATCTGTATAACCAAGTACAGACATCAGAGCATTCTTGTAGCAGCCAATAGGTCAATAATGACTTATTCTGGGCAAAGGGATGATTTTTTTGAGAATTCCAATAGATTTTCACGGATGAATGTTAGTTTTATTGTATTACAACATGAAGATGTGGTCAAACACCAATACTAACAGCCTAACTTCTATGAGTGCAAATATAAACCACCATTTGAAACATTATGGAAACATTAGTCAGCAAGGGACAACTGCTGTTGACACTACTCTGCTTCCTACCACATACCTCTGTTTCTTTCTACCACTGTTTCCTTTTCTTATTTCCTTTGCTTTTTTCTCTTCTACCTAATTTTAGCAGCTACCATTTTAAAAGCTTAGTGTCTCATTTGCTTTTTTGCTCTTCACAAATCCATGAAGCCATGCCTCTTACAGAATTCTACTAAGTACCTGTCTTGAATTTTTATAAATTCATTTTTACCCTTTGTTTATTGCAGTACAACTGAATGATGAAATGATACCAGGGCCAGAGATATGCATTCTAGAAATCTTATCATTTGAGAGTCTAGTCTATCATTCAATATAAAATATAATATGGATAACAGGAACACATTAAAATGGAAAAGATACCAAAAGCTAGTGTAAAATTAAAAGGATCAAGAAATATGATTTAGAATAGGAATAAGAAAGTAATGTCAGAAAACAATAAGGAGACAAAACAAAAACTGTAATGGTAACTTCATGCATTTAGGATGTTATTAGCAAGTTATTTTGGCATAAAAGTACACCCTTGGATTCTGAGGACAAAATAGGTGCTTACTCTCATAGAAAAAACTAAAAATATGAAGTTACAAGTCTCAATTCCTGTGAACCTTGAAATGTATAGTTCTAATTCTTTTAAGAATAAAGATGGCTAATCAGAACCACTGCGAAGTTTTTAATTTGAAAATCACATCTGGTTCAAAACATTTCCTACTGTTCAGGATGCATTCAGTAGGCTTCAAATCAAATCAAGTTAAAGGACTACTCTCCTAGAAAACGAGCAACAAATAGCATGCCAAATGACGGAGCACACAAATACAACTTCCTGAATAGGGCGTCTGTATTTTAAAGACTGACTGATAAACAGAAACTTATTTTTTTCCATCATGTGATTCCTGCCGCCAGAAAGTACTTGCTGAGCCCGGACAGTGTAGCTCAGTGGTTGAGTATTGACCCATGAACCAGGAGATCATCGTTCGATTCCTGGTTAGGGCACATGCCCAGGTTGTGGGCTTGATCCCTAGTAGGGGGCGTGAAGGAGGCAGCTGATCAATGATTCTCTCTCATCATTGATGTTTCTATCTCTCCTTTCCTCTCTCTGAAATCAATAAAATCATATTTAAAAAATATGAGAAAGAAGATACTTGTTGAGAGGAAAGAACACAGGTACCTCTTTCTCAATATTCTTAACTCTTTCGTAAGGTGTATGAGCTGAACTTTTATAACAGAAAGTACACCAGAACAGTTAAAAGCATGCTCCCTGTAGCTTGAATCCCTGCTCTGGTCGTATGAAACGTGAGACTTTAGATAAAGTCATGTAACCTTTTGGTGTTGTGGGTTCTCTGGCTGAAAAAAATGAGTTAATATTTGTAAGTGCTAACAACCAATCTGGCACAAAAAGCGTTATGTGTTATATGTCATTTTTGTTATGGTTTTTAAGAAATGTCTTAAGTTGCTCTTCCAGACTTTCTAGCAATCTAATACTGACAACCTCAATATATCTGATTTTCCTTCTCCACTCATTTTTCTCTAAAGTACATGTCACTATCACACTGCACATTTCAGTTAGTTGTCTTGTGATTTTGTTTCCCCCATGCAAAAATAAGATGGGAATTTTTGTTTTATTAATGAATGTGTGCTCAGAGCCTAAAAAAAGTACCTGCCACATAACATACCTTATAAATACAATATTCCAGCAATTCTGAGATGCACATATTCTTACAATTTATTAATACCTCTGAAATTAGGATGTAATTTAATTATACTCTTAAATTATCTTACAATTAAAACTGCTAACACTAAATTTTTTTAGAGATATATAAAATATATGACAATTAACAACCCAGATTTGATGAAAGAATATGTCAAGAAACAAATTAATGAATGAAAGAACTAAAGGGAAAAGTAAACTTTAGTTTTACCTAATCAAAATTCATGTACTTCGAAAAATTGTTTTATTTTTTTCTAGTACCTGTGTCTAGACTAGACCATTTCCTTGGATAGATAAACTTCTAGCAGATTATCCCTGATGATTCATTTATTACCATTTGCTTAGTTGATCAGTGATGAAATGTTCATTAGCTTTCTGAGTGAAATATTTCCAAATTAAACTAAAACTATTACTTTGGAAATAATACTCTTGTCAAGACTGCTGCTGTTCTAATTCTTACAAATGTAAATACAAATGTAATGCATGAAATGGCCTTTTTCATATTCTCTAAATAATATTTAAATGGACAAACTATATATAAGCAGTGAAGACAACAGTTCACACAAACTTTAACAAATATTAAATTCACAATACTAGGAAGATGAGCAAGAATTTTCTAAGAATGAAAGAAGAAAAAATATTGCACACATTTATTTAAGAGCATACAGCAGTAACAATGCACACGAAATTTTGAGGGTTAAGTGGTAATATCCAGAGATTATTTGCAGCTTCCAAAATGTTGTCAAAGGGGTACTAAACCACCCCCTCCCCAAATTTAAAAAATGTACTAGATGCAACATTTTCAGTTAACTTAATAAACTTCACTAATTACATCAAAATCGATGTAAGGAGCACTGCAAAAAAATAATAGCACAAAAGAAACTCGAGTGCAAACTAATGAAAATCATGTCTGAGAACACATCATGGAAGAGTAGTTAGTTATTAGAAGACAGGATTTTAATTAATAGCAGAGGAATACAGACATGCTTGGGGGAAAAGCAGTTAAATACAGATTTGAAACTGATTTTCGATTATCATTTTTGTGAACATATATTGAGGGCTTTTTAAAACTGCTAATGCCTCCTATTAATTTGGTGATTATGAAACATCCAACAATTAGGTTTTAGATTAAATGTAATTAAAGTATATATGGTTGACTTAATGAATAAAAATAGTGTATTAATGTGCAAATCTCTAAGGTGATCTAAAGTTAGCTAACATTTCAAAATAGATTTGCATAATGAATTCCAAATTTTGTCAAATTACTATCTGTTAATATCTATGGTTCTGTTCTTGATACTCTGAATTTATATGAACAACAAGAATCCCAGCTACCTTAAGATGCTACAGTATATTGAAGAAATAACTAAGAAGAGTTCATGTTTCTAGTGGTTCTGTCTTGAGGATAAGATTCAGAAAATCTGGAAGTTAACTGGTCTTGCAGAAAAAAGAACATACTCCAAGTGATGCAGAAAGTCTTTTTAGGATATGTGTGAATACTGATACTATCTTCCTCAAGATTATGCTACCTCAGAGAAATCAAAGTAACTACCCACCACTGAAACAATGAGAAATTCACATAAATTATATAAACATTAAAAAAATAATTTTAATATTCTTTAACAATTTTAGAAATAACTTTTTGCTATTAATTTAAATTTTATCACAAGTAGTAGCATGGCATAAGATGTTTTAGGAAGAAAATATTAAGAAAAAGACTTCTGCATAATTTCTCTAGAATTGGCTTGCAATAAAATATATACTAATATACTTTAAGTTTAAGCACTAATAATTTCCCATCCTTACTAAAATATAGTCACCCCCAAACATTCATCTTCATGTATTCTCCCCCATCTTTTGCAACTTGAAACTACCTGACATTAATTTTATGTTCAACATGATCAATGTATAGAACACCATCCTCCTCAAACCATTTCAAAGACCATAATACTGTCTTCAAGATTAAAAGATTTCCATCTTGGAAATGTATCAAGTGAAAATTAAAATCTTCTGGGAAACATTTTCCTTCTAAAAAATTATACTTGTAATGGAAATCATGATTTTTCCTTTTTTGATTTCCCTAAAGAAACTTACTATAAGTCAAAATTAATGAAACCAAAGGCTTCTGTGAGCATAGAGAAATGAAACATATTTCCAAGATTGTTTAATATGTTTAATATTTTTAATCAAAGGAAACACCTGCCCTGTCAAAAATTACCATGTACTCTCCATTTGCTTTAATACCATCTGAACTAATTATTCAAGTTTAGGTTAAAAACAAACTCGGCCAGGTATTAGCAGTGACAATTACTTTAGGTCATCTGGCAAAATGAGAATAGTGAGCAGGGCTTATTTCTACTGAATGCCCTGAGGGTTTACCGAGCCTGGTTCCATATATTAGCTCAAGGAGATAGACAATCTAGCTGTCATACACAAGCAACAATAGTCTGTACAGCAGTACAAAATATTTCCTCCAGTCAACCAAAAATATATTAATTTACATTATTTCTTGATTTAAAATTATTTAAATGCACCAATCTAACAGTTAACCTACCTTTAATGTCACTGAAATTATGGTATAAGCATTACAAAAGCCAAGACAATATAAACATGTTCATTTATGAGCCAAGTAAACAGTACTCTCCAGACAAAGAACTAAAATCAAATGCACTAAAACTCACCTTCATTGGGAGATGTTTTCAACCTGGTGCAAATTCCATAGACATCTCCATAGCTTTCCTGTATTTTTCGTAAAGCATCGGTAGACCTGAGATCCATGAGAACCCGCAGCTCTGCGAGCGTAATTCCAAAGTCTCCATCATGATTAGCTTCCTTCAAAGAGTTTTTAACTCCACTATATAAAACAGAATTGTTTGCCATGTCGCCCATTACAAGTATAATTTTTTAGAAGGAAAATGTTTCCCAAAAGATTTTAATTTTCACTTGATATATTTCCAAGATGGAAATCTTTTAAATATGAAAATCGTTCTTAAACCAAACACTCATTGTATGACTTTGTAAAGCAGCATCAGCATTTCCCAGAGAAGTATCTTGACCTTTGGCCCATGACTAGTTTCTTCACATCAATCATGAGATGTACACATCTGTAAGAAGAAAATACAAGTTACTAAAATCCATCTCAGAATATTGTGCATGTAAGCAAATGTCATCAGGTAAGCTAATCAAAAGTCTATCATTTAATTACTAGAGGCCCAGTGCATGAAATTCATGCGGGGGGGCGGTTTCTCCTCAGCCTAGCCTTCACCCTCTCCCATCTGGGACCCCTCGGGGGACATCCCTCTCACAATCCTGGACCGCTGGCTCCTAACCGCTCACCTGCCTGCCTTCCTGGTTGCCCCTAACTGCCCCCCCTGCCAGCCTAGTCACCTCCAACTGTCCCCCCCACACACCGCTGGCCTGGTTGTCCCTCACTGCCCCCCCCCACCCCCCGGCCTGGTTGCCCCACACAGCCTGTTCGGTTGTTTGGTCGTCCTTCACTGCCCCCGCTGCCAGCCTGGTTGTCCCTCAGTGCCCCCCCCCCCCCCCGGCTAGCCTGATTGCCCCCAACTTCCTCCCCTGTTGGTCTGGTCACCCCCAACTGGCCCACCCCCCGCCAGCCTGGTTGCCTCTCACTGGCCCCCCTGCTGGCCTGGTCACCCCACACAGCCTGCTGTTCGGTAATTTGGTCATCCCTCACTGTCCCCTCCGCCAGCCTGTTCGCCCCACGCAGGCTGCTGTTCAGTCATTTGGTCGTAACTCACTGCTCCACCTGCCAGCCTGGTCGCCCCACGCAGCCTGCTGTTCAGTCATCTGTCCGGTTGTTTCGATGGTGACCACCCCTGGCTTTTTATATATTAGGATAAAATTATTTTTAGCTGTAATCTCATGCCTTTAAAATACTTGGCATGCTAAAAGATCAAAGTATAACTTCTAAATAACACTGTGTATCACATGACTAAATACAACTGCATTTCACGTGACTGCTGTTTCATTCAGTAGTACTGTTATTAACAGTTATCATCAAGTAATACATTCAAAGCACAATTGCTAGTTGTTTTAAATTCACTCTTATTTTAATGATCACAATTTAATCCCACCAGGTTTTATTACTCATTACTCTTTTAAGAAGAGTGAGCTTCAAAGAAAGAGGAATTTCCGCACAGCTAACAAATGCCTGAAATGGATAAGCTGGGATATCTCTAAGTCCATTTTCTTACCAATACACAGACCTCTCTCTCCAAAATTTGCCCTGAAAGGGCAAAAAGCACAATGAACCCTCTAATATGCTTTCCTGCAATTCTCCTTGGCCAATCTGTGACACCACCATCTTTTGGCTTCCTAAAATTGTCTCCCACCATGATTTTTGTCATATGGAACTACCTCCAGTCTTCCTTTGACCAAGCATCTAAAGAAAGTCTCAATTCCTTAGTCACTCTTTACTGTTACTTTCTTTGTTGGCCCTTAGTATTATCTGAAATTATCTTTTTTATTTATTGTTGCAGTTGTTTTTTGTTTTGTTTTGTTTTCTTCTTACATCTAAAGTCTTAGCTCTGAAGGCAGGGTTTGTCTGTTATTACTTTATCCTGAGAACCTAGAACTGTGCCAGGCACATGGCAGACATTCAACATTTGAGGAAAGAATGGATGCATTAATTGTCTTCAAAACACTTTCAAGTTCTCCTCTTACTTTATACAACTTAAAGATGAGCTCTCAACCCTTCTCTCTCCATCTGTGTTCTTTAAACAATCACTTAAAAGTTAACATGCCCAACAACAATTCACTTTATTCACACATTAGCGAGTCCCTCCCACCATTATCCTAATTACCTAGGGTTGAGATTTTAAATCATATTTGATTCAATCCACTCCAGATTCAGTTAGTCACTGAGCTTGGTTAACCCTTCCTTTGTCCCTCTTCTGTCCCTCTACACAAATTATAATCATTATCCCTCAGGTTCTCTCTCCTTCTAATATCTTCTATATGCAATTCCTTTTGCATTCTGCTTTACATTTTGTTTTTTAAATAGACATCAACCCATAGGATGAAAATACAGTCCTATTGCTCATGCCTATTTTAACCTACTCAACCTCACATCCCATTAAATACATCTCATTAGGAACTAGAAAATATTACTGGTAAATGCAATTAATTTTCATCTGTTGTTATGGGGATATTTGCAAATCATGGTATCCATCGAAGTCACCTAGAGAGCTTATCAAAATACAGATCGCTGGGCCCCACACCTCCAGAGTTTTAGTTTCAGAAGGATTAGGACAGGCTCCATAATTTGCATTTCTAACAAATTCTCAGGTGATACAGACACTATTAGTCCAGGAAGCACACTGTGAAAACCGCTGGACTGGAGATTGGGCTAAAAACTTTGAATTCATACCAGGTGGATGAGGATGGCTGATGAAACACTTTGCCTGCCTTGGGTTTAATTTGCAAGCATATAATAGTTATGGATTCTGTAAGACATTTTCTTTCATTGGCTGCTTCCTCCCATTTCATAAGCCCTTATCCTTGCCCAATTATTACCAATTTTACTTATCTCCTAGGCAAAATGGGTTTCCTCCTACTCACACATCAATTATTATAATAACCCAATTTCAAAAACTGGAGAGGGTGGTTATTTGATAATCTCCCTGAGTTTTTACACCCAAAATTTGTTGGCATCTGAACATCACACCAACCCTACATTAAACTTATTATTTATTTAGAGATAAAATAATTAAGATTCATAAATTTGTGTGTTGAGGGCATGTATGTAATCACTCCTCTGGTTTCCACAAAGAGGAAATTTCCTCAACATTTTCTAGCCTGGGACTCCACCAATTACCACTGCGGTAACATGAGCTGCCTACCTAGAGATTTTCAAAGAGCAACTTGACATATGTAACTTCTTTCTCTCTCAGCCTCCTTTTGGGAACCAGATGTCTGCAGGACTCATGCATTCTGGTCTGAGTTATTAAGGGGAGATTTAAAAACCTATTGTTCCAAGTGCCTGGGTTGGGGATGAATAACTGTTTAGATCTGGGTTCAATATTAGAGCCTCACTGTTGTCACACAAAAACGAAGTCCTTCATTTCAGCTTTAGTCAGTAATAAAACTAATCTTTTTATTCCCATGTGTCAATCTTCATCTTTTCTCTTGACAGAATTCAAGCAGGAGAAAAGGGTGTTATTTATTGGGTGCCTTTAACTTTCTCAACAATAAGGATAAATTTCTCAACATAATAGAGCTAATACTTAATAGAGCTAGGATCTGAATCTCTATTTATACCTCAAAAGCTATGTATGCCCCTTCCACTATACTGTCTCCACTTTAAGTCTTCACATTTATTAGGTTGAAATGGAAGTTTTTGTTGGTCAAAAAACAGTCAAATAATGCCGAATGTTCCCATTTATATAATAAAATCAGAATTTAATAGACATTATAAGTAGTTATTTGCCACCTCAGCATTATCCTCCCTCCCCCATTTTTCAGCAGTAGCCCCATTTCTTGTTTAGAGATCTGCCATTCCCAGCTCTCCTATATCCAGACATCTCCTGGTTCAAAAATGAGGATGTGACTACAGGGCCATTAAGTGGCAACGAGAGCTCTGCTGTGACTCTAGGGGAGACTTGTTTCTTCTTACCGAAGTTAAATCTGAGAAGCAAAAGGCCTCTGCAACGGGAGGAGCTACAGGGGATGAAAGGGCAGAAATGTGCCTATCAGTGCTGGTTCACTTGAGCCCTTGGAAAATCAATGCCTAAAGTCTGTCCTATCCCTGATCTTTTCAGTACTTTGTCCTATTTAGAGATGGGTTTTCTATCACTTTCCAACCCATAGAGCTTTAATAAGTACATGATTACCACTGTTTAAAGAAAGGGATGCCCTAACTGGTTTGGCTCAGTGGATAGAGCTTCGGCCTGTGGACTGAAGAGTCCCAGGTTCGATTCCGGTCAAGGGTATGTACCTCCATTACAGGCACATCCCCAGTGTGGGGTGTGCAGGAGGCAGCTGATGGATGTTTTTCTCATCAGTGTTTCTAACTCTCTATCCCTCTCCCTTCCTCTCTGTTAAAAAATCAATAAAATATATTTTTAAAAATGGGAAGTCCAGAAAAGGCACCAAATGCAAATGAGCCACTTTCCAAAAGTGGCTATTTAAATTACAAATTATCTACCAATTATATAACAGGGTGTAGTCGAAATATTTCTAGATTGTCTATAGCCTCTTCCATCCTCTATTTTCCTCTCTACCTACTCTTCATTCTTCCATTCACCTAAGTAGTGGACTGACAAAAATGCTAAGGACAACAAAAAAGTTTGGCCTTTTACTTGTAAGCTACACTATCTTTTTTGCTTTCCTTTGTTTAATGATTTCATATATTCTTTCCCAAGAAAATTCAAACAGTTCTTTTACGACATGCAAACAGAAACAGCTCAATAAAAAGTCTTGGATTTTTATTTAAGTGTTAAGCCAATTTTCTATTTACTAGATCTATTATGACATGTTTCAGTAAAATTTTTTATTTTTTTTACTTTATTTTTTATTTTATTTTTTTTTCAGTAAAATTTTTTAAATTGGTATTTACAAAATTTCTTAATCCATGGCTGGTTTCATAGGAACACAAATTATAGATCCGGGTGTGTTTTTTAAAAAATCCTCTAGCCCTAGCCGGCTTGGCTCAGTGGATAGAGCATTGGCCTACGGACTGAAGGGTTGAGGGTTTGATTCCAGTCAAGGGTATATGCCTGGGTTGCGGGCTCAATCCCCAGTTAGGGGCGTGCAGGAGGCAGCCAATCAATGATTCTCTCTCATCATTGATGTTTCTATCTCTCTCTCCCTCTCCCTTCCTCTCTGAAATCAATAAAAATATATTTTTAAAAAATTCTCTAAAGACAGCTTTTTTCATTCACTTAGAAGAATAATTGTTTAAAAGTTTCTAAATCAAGCCCAGCCGGAGTGGCTCAATAGTTGAGCGTCAACCTGAAGAACCAGGAAATCAATGTTCGATTCCTGGTCAGGGCACATCCCTAGGTTGCAGGCTCGATCCCCAGTGTGGGGCGTGCAGGAGGTGTCAGCTGACCAATGATTTTCTCATCATTGATGTTTCTCT